TCCAGTTCTGTTGTTTGCTGCGTCTTTGTCAGCTCCAGCATCGAGCAACAATCGCGCAACTTCCAGGTGGCCACTCTGAGCTGCAGTGCTCAGAACCGTTGTGTAACTTCCGTATGGTGTTGCATTTGGGTCTTGCGGTTTTTGAAGCAGCCTTTCAACATCAATGACATTGTTTGTTTGACAACTGAGAAGCAGTTCTCGATCAGGAGCACAAAAAAGGCAGGATTACCATCTGTATAGATGGTAGCGGTCTCAAGGGCATGTCATCCTGCAGTTCGATTTCCTCACTGAAGAGTCTTTGCCGAAACCTGGAGCACCTAACTTGAACTGAGAGGAGTTGCTTTAGATCACGAATGGTTTTCCCACTTTCCACCATGTGAAGGAACTCCTCCTCATCAAGCTGGGCAACTGTTGTCCCGGACAAAGCCGTGACCAGCATCATTGAGATTCAGAAGCAAGCAATGCCGGCTTGAGCCATGGTCGGAGTCAAGTCTGTAAAAACTGTGTTGGAGGGTCCAGATATGTTCCACAAATTATGCATACAAAGCAACTGGCCACACACCAACCAACACCCCAATAACCTATGTATGGGGGAAACAAATCTATAGCAATGTATGAAAACATGGAAAAAAACACACACCCTTAGGCCCTACGGTATGAACACTGCGATGAAAGTGTATGCTATATTATATGCATATACTTCTTGTATACTTCTTGGGAAACAAAAAACACACATTCCAATGTGATTCTCATCGGCTCTTAAACCCTGGTAGAAGCTCCCCCAAAGCTAGGATACATCGAAGCAACATGCAAAATACGTCCAAATCACATCAAGGGGGATAGATGGGGATACAAGTTGAGGTGATCGTTCAATTGTTGCACCCAAAAGTCAAAGGTTTCCTCCTGGACCCACTGGAAGCAGTGGTCAATCCATGTCAGCCCCTTGAAATACATCGCTCAGTTCATCTCCTTTCATCGTTGGACTTTCGGACCTCCACCCCAACCGACACCGACACGACGCTCCCGCGCCACCGCGCCTATCGGCGAGGACGGGGTTGAAGACCTGCTTGAGCAGCGTGACGTGCTCCGCTCCCAGGGAATCATAGGAGCCCTGCGACGGCGGGAGACGCTCACGCCGAACGGCGCGCTTGCGCGCTTGGTTTCGCCGACCTGACCACCAACGCGCGCCTCGGTCAAAGACTTCAAGAAGGCCTGAGATGCGGGGGTTAGTCGCTCAGTCACTTCAAGATGGTGGTGGTGTTCATGTTTGGTGTTGTTCTCGGGACTTAGCAAGGATGTGTGTGCTTCAGTTGAGACTTTTGGTGAGAGAAACACCTGATATCTCCAGCGCTGAGCCTGTTCAAATGGGTATTGTAAAGTTGAATTCATTAAAAACATATTCGAAGTTTTGACTTCCTCCCCTAAGAATCTGAAAGGACTGGACATCAAGGCAAACATCCTGTACTGGTCTTTCATGTTTCATATATTGTTTGACTCCCGAATCTTTGGACTCTGAGTGACGTGGTTTGCAGGTCCCAGCTTTGACTCCCCGAAACTTGGACGTCCCTGAAACATCAGGAATCCGTCCAAATCTGAATCACTGATTGAAAACTTAACCTGGAAGAGCATCCAGAAATCTCCAGAATCCCAATCCATCCCAAGGTCCCTCCAAAAACACGGACTTCTGCTTCTTCCCCCCCCGTAGAACCGGCGTCCAGGTGATCATCGCCTTGCCTTGCCCAGGGTGATGCGGCCCTCGACCGAGTCGAAGGGAGCACCTCGATGGGGCGAGTCCACGGAGTGCTGAGCACATGGTACCAGCGGCCGCCCGTATTCCCAGGCAAAAATAGAAGGTGTTCGCATTTATAAGAACCATGTCATTTCTTTTTCTGGAGGGAAAATTATATATAGGGTGTCATTTGATGATTTGTGGGGCCGTTTGGAGCGGATGTGCTGAGCGATGTTGACACTGAAAGAACATGACTTGCTGTCAGCCTTTTCGCAGGCAAACGGGGCACGGCCTCAACTCGAGTTCACCAGAGGGAACTCCCTGCGATCTAGATGTAGGCTTGTGTTGAAGCCAAAGGGCAAGAAACGCAGCATTTGCGAACCATTCTCTCGCCAGCTCTTCTTTGCGAGATGGGTGCCTCATGTGTCTCCTCAAGGGTGCAGCCCAAAGTCATCCACCTGTCACACGATCCTGCAACGACGTGTTCAGAAAGCCGATGTCCAACTCTGTACCGAAACCGAATCACCCGAGGCACGCACGACCCAAACAAATAAAACTCTCCCTCTCCGCTTGATCAGCTCACTGAAGACATCAGTAAACAGACCCGCCCATCTGGACCTGATTCTTTTTGATATATAGTCCCCATGTGCCGAGGCGCTGCAGGGCGGCATGTTGGAGGCAAAACGCTCCGGTTGGCTGAGATCGAACTTGTCCAAGGCCAGGTCCACACCTGACCGCGGAAACGCTCGACCGTCCGGTCGGGTTGGAGACCGAAGGGTGAGAAGCTTCCAGGCCCCAGGTTCTTCGTGAGCCTGCGAGGTATTTGTAGGGTAGCTAACTGCAAGTTTGTCCATCTACTACTACAGTGTATCCGGGCTCTAGCTTGCGAAGGCCTGTTAGCATGAAGCTCCACCATCTTGGTCAATGATGTGTGCATTGACATATAATAATCTTATACAATATCACATAATATCTTGCACTTGCTTTAGGACTCCAACAACATCCTGAGAGAAGGTAGCTAGACCGCAAAACCAACAGGCCTATTAGCCTACAAGTATATTATTTCTATACGCTCCCTGCAATCATGGGATCAGTGGATGGCACCGCCCAGTCCAAGGGTGCTGATGCCTTCCGGTCAGACCAAACAGGTGAACTCCATGAAACCATCATGTCAGCCTCTGAAACCACCTGAGTGCGACTCCACATGAAACCGGTACTCCCCATGAAACCGGTCCCCATGAAACCGGTTCTCCATGAAACCACCTGAGTGACGGTGTAAGTCGAGAGCCTCTGAGCTCCACCGCTCTGCCTCTCTTCCAGACCATCGACCATCGGACCCTGTCGTTCGGTGTGTGCCTTGTGGCTGGTCCTTCTGCGTGAGCTGGAAGCGTTGAGGCATGAACCTCGGGACTGTTCCCATGGGTCGGCATGCAGAAGGCACAGGTTGATGTGATGATCGCTATGATGATCGATGCAACAAAAACACCGAGGAGAGAAACACGTTGAAAGGAAGATACATCATATGGTTGTTTGGCAAGTAGGTCGTCATTTACAGACCTTCTGAATCTAGCAACTGTTCAATCTTCTCATGCTTGAAGGGATAAATAAGTGTTTGCGTTTGGACCAATGCTATGAACATCATCAAATGTTGCCTTCATGTTTGTTGAACAAGCCAAAACAGTAGTTCCTCCCAAGCAGTAGTGGAGCGAGTACTGAGTATCGGTCCGGAGAAGGCTCTTCTTCATGGGTCATCATGCTCAAAAGAGTGTCTTGCATACCACACACTTTCCTTAATTATGCTGTGAGTCTCCAACGTACCCTTAAACAGTGGCACAAAAAGAAGCACCTTAAAGCACACTTAGGATGCCGGGCCCCAATGTTTGACACATTCTCATCCCAGTCAGCCGTTCTCATCTCCACTGTTTCGCTTCATCCCGTCAAGCTACATGGGGCGGCCAGTTGGGCCCAGCTGCATCCCTGCGTGGGGGAACGTCGGTCACCAGTGGTTCTAGTTCGACTCTCCGACCGAGTGGTTCCAGTGCCGTTGACAGCCTGACCTTCGACTTGCTGTCGAACTGGAAGAAAAAATAGAACAAAATACATATACCCTAGGGCTCCAACCATCTCCTGAGAAGGTGGTTGGGGTGGGTTTTGGGGGTCTAACCACCTTCTGAGGAGATGGTTGGAGCCCTAGGGATAGTAAGAAGAAAGCAGGTTGTTTTCATTGACTGTTGTAGCTGGGTGACTTCTTCGCTTGGAGCTTCGATCCTGAAACGGACAAATTCTTTTTTGTTGGTCGAAGGTTTTGCAGCCATCAGAAGCCATCTCAATTAGCCCAGATTCGAATCTGAATCTAACCTGACATGCACGACTGGGTGCGGTGGCAAGCTTAAGGATACTTCCACAAAGACTCTTCACCAGAAAAGTTGCTTGAATGCATGCATCTTATGCTCAGAAATTTGATCATTCAACCGTTGGGAACGACCTGCATCGTTTGATCCCTAGGCCCCTAGGGCTCCAAGTATCTTCATGAGGTGTTTGGGGTGGGTGCCAGGAGGGTCCTGTCATACCTTAGAACCGCGAACCGCTGTTCGGGATGCGGCCGTGGGCGTTAGGAATTTCGAGGGACAGAAACCACTCCGACTTCGCGATGACGGCGATGATGGCGCGATGAAGCGCCTTGGATGTCGAAGCGCGCAGGCTGTGTGAGGGCAGCTCCTGAGAGAGCCGAGTGAAAACGTGTTTTTCGACGAAGGAGTGTGGTGTCAGGAGCCTCGAAGGAGGTGAGGTCTCACAGGCGACGATTCTCACAGCGCTTCTCAACATAAAATTGAGACCCTGCCTGGGGAATGCATCATAGTTTACGGAACATGGCACCACCTGTTTCATGATGAACAAATGTGTCATCCTCTCAGGGCCATGCCATCTACATCCATGATGTATTTCAGGCATTGTGCCTCGGCTGATGGACCTCAAAAAAAGGACAGGGAAAAAGACCAGGCAGGCAGCGGCAGGCACGCAGGCGGCGCTCAGGCGCCGGGAATGCGCAGACCCACTTCACTGTACTGAGCATCTGAGTTGTTCCTTTCCACTAGCAATGGGTTTAGGAACTCCCTGTAGCTCCTTGGCTCCCAGTTTAATGGTGAATACGGTCCTTCCTGAGCTCCCTCCTGAGCAACAGCTAGTTTATGCTTATGGTGTGGCTGGTCACGATGCATCATCAGGAAGCTAAAAATCTAATTCAGGCTTCGAGAAGCACAAAACCTCAACAGGATTTGAAATACTGCATCAAATCTGCCACGACACCATGAATCAACGGAACAGCTTTACTTCAACGACAAAAAACAGTCTTTTGATGAGTCCTTCTTCTTACAAACTCCACAAATCTCCACAAACACCTTCTTTCTTTGGGCTCAAAACTGCCGTCTTCACCCGCCTTCACCGAACATCTCCGTCTCAAGATCCCGCCCCAAACCTCCCACGGTCCTGGCAGCGCACCACCTGGCACCATGCCAGCGGTGGGCAAAGAGGGTCGCTGTGCCAGCTGGAAGCGGTCAAGGCCTTTGGACCAGTTCGCAGTCAACGGAGGGAGAACCGTGGATTGAGCGTCGAGAAAGCAGAAGTGTCCCTCAGTTGGGGTGGGTTTCAATAGACCGCCCCATCTATAGATCATTTAGACCATTATAGAGTGATGTGAGTACCCCCAAAATGACCATGGAACATGTGTTGTCCTCTACTAACAGGCCGTTTTCAACTTCCATGTTGGTTGAGGGAGGTCGAACAAATCGGTGGATGACACATGGATGTTCATTGTATCTCCAGAGTCCACGGGAGCCCAGTGTGGGCCTTGAGTTGCCGGCTGGTCCAAACCAGGACCACGTTTCACCCTGGTAGATGGACCTCCTCCGTCTCTTCATGTCTCTTCTGTTCATGTTGGTGCCATGACTGCCATGACCCACAACGCGATGCTTCCGGATGAGCTGAGGGTGTTCGGTGTTCATCTCAGGTCCTGCCCACTACGACACCTTCGGAGTCTCAATCCTCAATCATCACCTATCAAAGTGGAGAAACCATGAGAAACCATGTTAAATATCCAGTTCCATGGGGTTCCGACAAAAACACCACTGCAGAAAATCGAAAGCAGGGTGATATTGTCCCAAAACACTCCATGCGATGTCCCAAACACTCCGGACTGGCACATTGACCTACATCTGGGAGTGTTGCTGATTGACTTCTCGGATCCTGAGACCTTGTGAGAGGTGCTTCTCATGGAGACCTCGCGGATCCAAGTGATCCATCAGCGAGAAGTATAAAGAACGGATCCACTCCCTGAAACAAACATTTCCAGTGGACAACCCCCTGTTTGTAGAGAAAGATCGTATTTCTTCCAGGAGGCCGCTGAATCCACTTTCACGATTGTTGGAGGGAGTAATTACTTTCCACCCGCGAAAACGGGCAACAAAGAAAAAAAAAGAAACCTGAGGTCGAAGGGGCCAAACTGCACACCACCGTAGATGGCATGGAGGTTGTTATTGAGCCCGGTCTGCATGTCACGCAGCTTGCCACCTGCAGTCTGGTGGTTGGGACGTATCTCCTGATGTGGATTCACCCGGCATGGTCAGTTGCCAAGTGTTCTATAAGGATCTATAAGGCATGGATGAGCTACCAGGGCTCTTTGGATGAGCGACCACAAATGCCTGACATCAGACGATCTTGGGGAAATGGATTACAATTGTGTTTAAAGCTTAAAGCATGTCATGAACCTGGGTGATTATGGGGCATAACAATAGCCGAACAATGATTAAATCTGATAAAAATAGTCATAAAAAACATCCTGAACAGCACCAAACGTCCAGGTTCTTGACAAGGACCACTCTTGTGATCCTTCATCCGACCTCTTCTCGCACGCAGCTCCACTCGGCAAAACAACACCACACACCACCACCACAACACCAGCAGCAGCAGCAACAACAACGACCGACCACGACCAGTAACCAGTAACCAACAACCAATAAGAACAAAGGCGTGCTCGATCCCAAATCCCAAAACGGTGCCGAAACACCTTGCAGCTGGATCCGGGAGTTGCCACGCATGTTCCAGAGCTGTGGAATCTCCGGATGAGCCTGCCATGACCGACACGGTGCGTCCGTGACCTCCAAAAGGTCTCCGAAGACCGGTTTCTTTTTAGATACGGACACGGTCTCTTTGGGGGGGACCGTTCCGGGTTTTACGGTTTCAGGGACGGTTTTCCGCCAAAAATAGAAACACACACTGTGTGAAAATGCCTTCAACTGGCCAAAAGCTATCAAGCCCAGCATCCTGCTTTCCTATACTGGCATCATCCCACTGAATTCCACTACAAGAGTGCTTCCCTTGGGGCCCTGGGGTTGAAAGGACGCCGCAGTTGAAAGACACCCTTCCCTTGAAAAAACAATCTGGCTCCAAGAGATGATTTGGGCTCCAATGATGTTATTTTGTCCACCGCTCACCTCTGAATCACTGGCTCCAATAATTGTGGCGCTGGTGGCTTCAACTCACTTGAAAAAATATTAGTGAGTGGGTTTAATCATCCCCAAGTAAAGGTTGAACATCAAAATATCTTCTGAAACCACCACTCAGCAGAACCCCCGGTTTGGGGTGTCCAATAATAGCTCCTTAGAGGTTCATGGGTGTCTATTAACCACCCCTTAGGGGGTCCTGGCACTTGTTCGTTCTCTTCCGCCAGCTCACCTCTGGCACAGTCGAGCTCACCAGCTCATCCGCAATGTCATACCTCACCGCTGGGCGCCGCGTGTCAAAGCTCGCTGGGATCGCAAAACGTTGCCTCGTCTTGTTGATTCTTTCGAGAGTGAACGCCCAACGTGACTTGTCTCTTCAGTCTTTCTTTCGGAGATGGGGTTTGATAAAAGTAATTAGACTGTAACTCGTGGCGAAATCTAAAGAGAATTCAGAAGGTTCTATATCCCAAACACTCCATGTATGGCATATATGCCTACATTGAGCTCTGAAACCATCACAACGTGCGGCGATATGGTTTAGAGTTCAAATGTGTTCGTTCGGTGGTTCCGAAACGGTGTTCACGCCGTTCGACGGGCGTAGCCCGTTTCCACCGGGTGGAGTTCGACGGGCTTGATGCGAAAGGCTCTAGCCAACGGCTTAGATGGCCCATCCTCACCCATGAGTTGTTGGTGTCGACTCTGAACCCGATGTGGAAGTGGAGACGGACATCCCACAAACCCACCAACAACCAGGTGGCTGGATGGCAATCGGGAAATGTTCACAAAAACAAATCACTTGTGTGATCTATTCTCTGACCCAAACACTCCATGTATGCCGTATATGCTTACATTGGGGTGGTTTTGGGGGGGTCAATGTAGGCATATATGGCAGTCCCATGGAGTGTCTGGGTGAAGCTACTGCCAAACTGGTGAAAGTAGCTTTGAAGCCTTGAAGAACTACGAAGAACTTGCAGAAAATAGAAAAGGCGAACAGAGAGGATCCACAAAAATGATGTACCAGTATTGTTTCATCCTCCGTCTATACCCTCATCTTGAACAAGTCCAATGCTACACTATAGGTGTCTTTTTATAAACCTCCTTTATGATCAGTGCTGTGGTCTTTGTGGAACCCGTGTTCTCCCAGGTGGTGGGTGGAACTTCCGTGCTCTGTCCGTCTTCGTTCGTCTCTCCACATTTCGGCCACGGCGTGCCATCGCGGGTCCACGGAGATCTTGGCATCCACCAAGTACTTCGCCATCACGGAGGCCTCCGCCGACGACGAGACGACGACGTGAGCGAGTGACTCGGAGCGGTCGAGGAGAGGAGAAGTGAGTGAAACAAAGTCTTAAGGGATCAGCTGAGGATATGACGATGATTTTTTTCTCTAGTAGATGAGAGATTATAACTATGTCATGCAAGTGTTTAGTTTCTGAAAGACTTGCGGATATGTGAGGGATTGTGAGGGTGACAATGTAATGGATGGAAGTAATCACTTGTGGATATTATACTGCATCTCGAAACTGGAAGTTCAACCAACGTCCAAACCTATAAACACTTACACTTACACAAAGTTCAAGCAACTTCCAAACATATAAAACATAGGAAGTCCTCACGACCTCTTTCTTCCCAGTGATCCTATAGGCTAGATCCGTTGCCCCGGCTCGGCCGATCAGATCCGGTCGTCCGCCTTGGCGAGCTCCCGGAGGTGGAAGATCACGCTCTTGCGCTCGGCGATGAGGTCGAAGTGCCGCGAGAAGGCGTCCGCGAACCTCGAGGAGGGCGGAGACGAGAGAGGGTGACGCGGAGACGGGAGGCAGGTGGCCGAAGGGGTGGTGGAGGAGGGCCGGTGGATGTGACATGGGAGGGAAGCATATAGCAGAGATGTTTTTCATGACAGTCCGAAGCACCTGATTGCTCTATCTGGGGCTTGATTGCTCTAGGCTCACTCCCACCTTCGTGTTTGGGTGGGGGGACTCCTATACATCCGACGATGGGGATGGGTAGTGAGTCCACCATGTAGGGGGGGGCGGTACACGTTGGTAGGTCGTGGCCGGTGGGTCTCCCAGTGCCAGCCATGCCAGCAGGTTGGGTTGAATCATATTTAACCCTAGGGCTCCAACCATCTCCTGAGAAGGTGGTTGGGGTGGGTTTTGGGGGTCTAACCACCTTCTGAGGAGATGGTTGGAGCCCTAGGGTAACATCAAAGGACGAGTGGCGAAAAAGAGGTGGATTGCCGAGGCCCCACCGATCCGCACTGCTTGGTGGTCACTCTTTCACTCAGAAGGAACGAAAAGGGGCCCGGGGCCATGCCATCACATCGAAGGGCCCAAAATGAGGAACGGACACTAGATGTACATTCCCGGAAACTCACATAGACCCTGACGTCCTGGCCCCCCTGGAAGAGTGTTTTCCTTTACCAACCAGTGGTTTTCAGGGTCCATGTTAGTCTTCCAGGGTGTATTATGTATGGAAACCTGAAGAGAATGTGTTCAAAAACATTCAGCCAAGGACAAATTGAAAGGAAACTTATGGAGACTTTCTCTATCTCCATTTGGAGCACCAGTGCATGAAGGTGGAGCATGGACTGGCTGCATCTGGCTGCGAGTCTGATGAAAGGTGACTCCAAACAGGTCACTGGCACTGGGGGAAACACCACGTCCGGCACAGGGTATCGGGGCAAGGACCTCTCCAATGAGGGCTTGGTCCATGGTACCCTACACCTCCAACTGGCTCCAACAACCTCCTGAGAAGATGGTTGGGGTGGGTGCCAGGGGGTTCGAATACCACCGAACCTGAGGAGATGGGACAGTCGTACTCCTCATCTGCCCTTCATCTCGTCACATCAACACACCGCGCCGTACTGCTGTGCGGCCTGGTAAGAGGATGATTCTTGCCTTGGACCACGAGGACGCATGGACGCGCAGTTCCGCGCAGTTCCACACCGGACTGACTGCCGGTTGTTCTACCCGGACGCTGATCCTGGGGACTGCCATCTCAATCGCTCACCCAGTGCCATCTCATCTCCCGTGGCACCTGGGGTAGTGGACTCTTGAGTTCGGTATACCCCACAGGTCACTACCCCAGTGACTTAGAAGCTTCTCATCCAGCTTCTTTGGAGCTCGGAGTCCTATGGTATGGCCAGCGAAGATGACCGAAAAGCACGGACTTGAAAGCACGAGGATGGTATGTGAATCCCTCAACTAGGGTGTGCGCAGCTTATTTACCTCACACTCTCATGTGGGTGCCGCAATCTGCCAAAGAATGGTAGAGCACAGTCAGTTAACATGAATATATAAACATCAGTTCTGGATGGCTCCCTGATAAAATACAAGTGTCTTTTGCGATTGACTAAGCGTTTCGGGATGGCTCGAATCATTTGACTGTCACTGTCCTTGGTGAGCTGTAAACGCATTTGCGCAATGGCTGCTGTTGCCGTCCAGGTCGCTAGTGATGGCCTTGTCCTCCAAGCCTTTGCCGGTCACGACCTGCTCTCTCGCCTCAACGCCCATCTTCACAAAGGGAATCAGGGTCTTGTCCTGCGAAGCAGCAGGTGGAGGTCATGTGGTTCGGACGGTTTGGATGTCTTTTTTAATGTTTTTGTTCGTGGCCAGTCCAAAAGAGGCAAGCGTTGATTGGTATAGTTCAGCTATGTTCAGCTACTAAGCCCAAAAGATCTTCAACAACATGAGACATCAACATTCTCCACACTATTCTCCACACACATATCATATATATATATATATTCAAACAGATTCACTACATGATTCACTCCTCTCCCCTTTCCCCCCACCACATCCTTCGGTCTCCCGAAGCCGGGGCGACCCGGTGCCGCGCCTCGGACAGGCGGACCTCGGCCTTGCGCACCACGAACCACTCGCGCCCGGCCCAGGCGGAGGTGGAGTCCATCATCTCCGACCAATCGAAGACGCTCCTCGGCAGGCGGAGCGGAAGGGAGAGCAGATTCTGAGGTCTGGAGGGGTTTGGGTGGCCCAAGTTTGGGGTTTGAAGAGATGGGATCTGCCAGAAGTTTCTTATTTTTTGGGGAGGGAGGAGCAAGATAGGGGGAAATGAATGTGGGGCAAAAAGGACACCACGAAGGGATCTCCTCAGACCAAAGTAGGAGGAACCTTGCACCTCCCCTGCCGCCTTTTAGGAGGCTTTGTCATATTTGATGGTATGAAAATTCTCTCACCACCAAACCCCCTGCAACACGGCCGAGAAAGAAAAACAAACACAACAAATCCAATGAATCCAGTGGATGCCCGCACGGTTGTAGAGTCGCTGCACTGCCGTGAGACCCCCAGAGACTAAATAAAGAGTCACTCTCTTCAATACAGTGCCTGCTAGGGTTCTTGCGTATATATGCCGATCACACGAAGTGGAGGAATCGAACTATACGTTTATATCACCCCAATGCAGTTTCTGTCCATTTGGCCATTTGGCCCGATCCTGGGCTGTCCAGGGTTCCGACCCTCCGTTGAACCAGCCGAACACGGGGGGCCGCGGGTCGGAGACCCGCGCTGCTTTCAGGCTCAGTGTCATCATGCCCACCACAGGCATGGTGTACTCGCCCAGGGCCAACTCTTTCAAAAAGTAGTCCGCCTAAACCCGTGGCGTGTCGGAACTGGTCCAAGCAGAGCGAGTGAAGTGTGTATGATATTTTTGTGTATTGCCAGGCCGCGCAGTCTATATCTGACCCCTTCAGTTTGCCTGAAAAGTGCAAGTTCACCGGTTACTGCAACCTTTTACCCAATCCCCCCCAAAAAATAAATGTTATCCAATCTTATCCACTGACTGGGTAGGAAAGTGGTTCCGGAGTTCAACACCTCCAAGTGTGTCTCAAGGACAAAGGTTTCAAAAGTGGTGGATGAGTCTTGTTTTTTTTCCTCCAGTGTCACCCCATCCAGTGTCACAACCTCCCCATCCAGTCCGCTATATTTGGAGGATTCCTTCAACATGGAAGGTTGTGACACTGGATGTGTGCAAAGTAATATTTGGTGCTTCATATGTCACATCAAATCATGAACTCCAAATGATTCAACATACTTAATAGCCCCTTTGTATATGTCAAACAAAACATTTTTGGGTTGGAAACTATGAAACACTATACTCCATGTATTTTTTTTGGCTGGGAATACAAAGGGGCCCAAACATGTCATCCGTTCTCAAGAGCCTCACCTTTATCCTTTCTCACCTGGAGCGAAGCCTCACCGCCGAACGTCACACGACGTCACGTGGCAAAACGACGCCTGGAACATGATGTCGCCCACACTCGTCCCGGCCAACCAAGCGGGCTCGTAACGTTTCATTTGCGGAGTCTTCTCCTCGGCGCGAGAACGCGTGCTCACCAAGGCGCGAAGGCCCCAAAGTTGAGAAAAACGTTTTGCGGCAAGATATAGCATGGATAGTCCTCATATGAAACATTTTTTTTTGATGTGTTTGTTCAAGGTTGGCGTTTTCCAGTGTTTCCATCCATATTTTGCCTACCTTCAAAAAAAATCATGTTTTCACCATGGCAGCTTGTTTCCAGGTGCAGTCGTTCCACTTGTTACCTGTTGTGTGCAGAAACAAGCTGAATGAAACTATGGAACCGAACACAAGCAAATTCTGTAGCCACCATGCCCAGTGGATCCAGAACAAAGAACAGTACCACCAACCAAATTTGAAGCAACCCGGTGGTTCCAAGGGCTATAGAGTTGGGCGGCCTAACATCCAGGGAAGAGGAAAATGACCAGGGAAGAGGTAAAGTTCCAGGAAAGGTGGACTCTAAATGCTAGCACTGCCTGCATGCAACATTAATACAATTAGCAAAGCAGTCTTTTACAAGTATTGGTAAGAGCACCAAATAATAACTAGTCAACATCCAATGGCAATGACATGTGCCCAATGTGTGCACGTGGAATTTGATTGATCGCACTGGCTTTGTGGAAACAAGATCCTAGCAATAATGAAGTTGTGTTAGCAGCCAAACAAAGACAGAGACAGGGGGATATGCAAAGGATGGTGTCATGCACAGCGGTGCGGCTTCCCCATGCTACAATGCACCAGCAATACGGTGTACTGTGACTCCATCAGAAAGACTATGGCAGTGTTGCCCACATTACTGAGGAGAGCCCCATGAAAACACAGTGCTATCAATATTCACCTGCCACCCCTGACTTTCCCCGTTTACAAGCTCTGGAAAATGTTATGCTTTGCAACCTCCCACTGTCCCTGTCTGAAGCGGCGCCGACCCTTCCACGTCCTTTGAACGATTTTTCTTAGAAAGCTACTATTAATAGGAATCATGGGTGAATGTGGGCTTTTGGTGCTCCGGACAAATGAAATGGCCAATGTTTTTTGTTGTTTGTAGCTGGTCGTGTCTGTGGTGTTAGGAGTGGTTGTGTTTCCAGTCAGGCGCTCATGGAGCTGGAGCTGGAGATGATTTCAAAGCAGGTCGAACCAAGTTTGTTCAACAAAGTTGCCCACTTGGCCCAAGCACAAAACAAGACTGATGTACATTCCGAACTGGCGGTTGAAGTCCAACCTTAAGTAGACTTAAAGCAAAATCCAACTATGAACTATGACTATTGTTGCAGCTAATTGAAGGCTCATGATCTAGTTACGCTCAAGGTTCAGGTAAATCAGCCCAAAAATCGGTCGCGGTCGATGCCCACGCGTGGGCGCCCGCAGGCCATCGAACCGGGACCGACGGGGTGAGGAGGAGGACTGCCCGAGCGTAAGCCTCCTGTGCCAATTTGCAACTCGGATGGTACTTCAAGACGTGAACGCAGCTTCCACGCCTGCAACGTGCAGTTCAGCAAGAATTGCTGGGCCGTGGGGCTCTCAGAGAACGGCACGGTCGCGTAAAACACGCTCCCGTCCCTCTCATGCATGCCCACAAATCGCCCACAGCACCGGCGGCAGGTTCAGCCTGCGCCGCGGTAACGAGGCAAGACAACACTGATCCAGACGCACTTAGATGGAATGTTGAATCTGAAGGCCCTGTCGCGCCTCGTGGAGGACAGGCGGGGGAGGACGCAAGGTTTTGGCCGCCGCTGGCCCCAATGGACGGACCACACATCGCAGCCCAGTTCCCGGCTTAGCCGTGTGGATGGCTGTGGGACCTTGTTGAGGGCTGCAACGCGACGAGCCGGCCCACCTGCACTTTGTGGAAGCCGGCGCAAAACCTGCGCGCTGCGTTTGCAAACCGGCTTCAGCCCGTAACAAAAAGCTGGCGCAGACAACCCCGCGCCTGTCGCCCATCGATCCACACGTGCTCTGGTGCCAGCCCAGCCCACGGATCGACTGGGTGGAAGACGTCCACGAAGTCATCCAGCAGCACCTACCAAACTTCGCGATCGACAAGACGATGACAAGTTGGGGGGGGTCAATGCTTCACAGTGTGCTGCCTCCGGGTCGTAGCCGACGCTTTCCCCTGGCAGCGGGCAAGGAAAGAGAGCAGACGCAAACAGCGCCCGAAGATCACACAGCCGGGCCTTCGTCGAAGAAATAAAGGTTGAGAGCGGCGAGGCGGGCATCTTGTTGGTCAACGGGGGCGCGCCAGAAGACCTTGGGACGGAGTTGGTCAAACACAAAGGGGCAAAACAGCAGACCGCACCCCGCCTGCAGGAGCTTCCTGCCGTGTGAGGCCTCCTCATAGGGCGAAGGGTCAACAGCCAGCAGCGCGGTGAGAAATTTGGAGCTCAGCGGCTCTTTCAGCCGGCGCTGGCGTTGACCTCCGCGTTGAGCGGCGGGCGGCTCCCCCTGGAAAGTCGTCCAAAAGGACGGGGTGAGTTCAATGATGGGGCGACGCCTCGGATGCAAACAGGCCAGGCAGTGAGGGGCCCCCATAGTTACGGGACTTATAACTTGACATACGGGACTTATAGAAGTTAACTTATAACTCTAAGTTATAACTAAAGTTACGGAAGGAATTAACTTCCGTAACTAGTTTGAGCGTCAGAAATGTTTAAAAGGTGCGAATCAGGTATGCGTATGCAAAAATGATTGTAAAACCTAGGTTTTTGTCTAAAACCATATGAAATGTATAGAAAAATGGCTATAGCAAGTTTGTTTTTTTTAAAATTCTTCTTGTTTTTGATGCCAGACAGGACTCTTTCAAAATGTGCATATGGGCCGCCAAACAAAAGACAACAAGGCGGAATGCCGCCAAACCAACAAACCACAACAAGGCGGAATGCCG